TAATGCGCTTGAAGGTTAAATTAATCTCTTAATTTAAATCTCCTTCCATTCAACATAAGCAACATTTTCTAATTTCCAAGAATTATTTAATTGAGAGTATCCTCTGTTCGATTTCAAAAACTATATAAGTAAGAGCGCCGATAAACGTGCACTAAGCTTAACATAATTTTGAAAGCATTAAGGTCCTGAAATCCGGTCACTTTACGTCAACGTGTGCTCCAAACAATCATGATACATGAAGGTTGTATGCAGCGTGTGTTATTCCATGACCATTTCAGAAAAACCCACAAATTACTCGCAAAATAAAAGAATTCTCTTAGGAAATTTTCCCTAATTATTTTTCTAGATTTAAATCATCCAAATAGCTGACTTAATTATTAATCTAGATTGCAACAATCATAATAATTATCATTTATGAGGATAATTTGAAATCAAAATAATTTCCATAACGATTATTTGTCTTGATGTTAATTATCCAAAATTAATTAATTCAATTATTAATCTAGATTTTTAATAAAAATCATAATAATTATTAATTAATTTCTTAGGATGATTTAAAATCAAAATAATCCCATAATAACTATCATACTAGTCGCTGAAGACATAATAGCTATTATGCTCATGCAATCATACAAGTTATGCAACAATATGGCACCACCTATTCTATATGGCATGTTACCGCAATAAAGCATGTTATCAATCATATAATTTATACCAATCAATAAAAGCATTAAATAATAAATCATAATTACTTTAATCCATGACATTCCTATTTTAAAGAAAATAAAAAAAATGTTACAACTTTGGAATTCAACTTTCGCCTAGCCCATAGTATCTGTCTCAAGCCCCTTTAGGGTTTCCATGGGCCCAAAGCCCAAAGACCCAATCCTTTGGCGAGAAACCCTAGGACGCGAAAGAGGAACCCTAGCCGTCAGGTCTGCCGCGCCGTCACCCGAAGTCAAATCAGGCCGAAACTCCAGGGGAAGGACTGCCACATAGAGACGAGTAAACCGCCGCAGGAACCACCCAAAAAGGTGGCCAGACACTCCCTCACTCTCCCATTCTTTGCCGGAGAGTGGCGACCACTCTCAGACGCTTGTGGAGGAGCGTGAAGACTCCGATAGTGGCTATCCACCCACCGTTGCGTTCTTCTTTCCGTCCTCTTTCCAACCATATATAGATCTCCCAATTCCGAGATCGGGAAGTCCTCGAAAAGTCTCCGACAGTACTGACTGCGCATCTTACTCGCGGTTTCTCGATCTTGAACTTTTACAAAATATTGGAAAAATACACAGAAATTCCAAAAATAAATAAAAACAGCAAGGAGGAAACCTAATCATATGGGATTAGCCTCCTTGTTACAAATCGAGAAATACACGAGAGACCCTAACCATGGTTTAAAGCATTTTTACCGATTAAAATTTAAACTTTTATGAAAATGAATTATAAAATACACATGCTAGATTCATACCATAATCCTAGAACCCTAGGTGCCACATTTCAAGAAGCAAAACTAATTACATGAATAGTGAAACTAGATTCACATACCAATGTACAGGCCAAGGCTCTGATACCAATTGTAGGAAATCTTAGATTTATGCGGAAGCGGTTTAGGACCTAGTACATTGGTATGCTTACTGAATCATCCTTGTTTCACAATTACCTCTCGGGGCGCAGGTCTCATGTAGAATCTTCCCTTGTAGGATTCCTCTTCACGAACAGCTCACCTCAGCACGAACAACCTCCTTGAAGGAGGACTGTGGCAGATCTTCCAGACTATCTCTCGAGGAGGATGAGATGGTTGTGTGGGCAACCGTTCAGATGATGAACGTCTGCCTCTTGGGGTTTGTTTATGATGATCTGTTCATCTTGGAGGCACAAGAGGGGAAACCTATGAATATATACGCTTAGGTCTTAGACATAACTCAACCCTAAGCCTCATGGGCTCAAGTGTCACTGAAGCCCAATAGGACTTTAGTGACCAAAAGAGCATATATCCAACAAGAAACACTACATCAACAATCATCCTTTTGTTGAAACATTCATCCTCTTTTGTCTAAACAGAATTAGAAACACAGAAATTTCTAATTTTAAATAAACATTGAGCTTAATACTTTGACTATGTAAACCATAAGCATACACTAAAAGACGATATATCAAACATATTTTGCTTCCATTAGCACCAATAAATAAATTGTCAGGGTTTATATGTGGGACTTCATTTCTATTCCACTATTTTTATGTTAATCTTTCTTTTAAAAGATCTTTTTATCACAAGTTTATTGTCCCATGTGTTGCAGTTTGATGCAACAAGTTTTTTTTTTCTCCTAAATTAAGCAAACATTTTATGCCATTACATTCGTGGTGATAACTGTGGATCTTAGGCTTTGTCAGCAACAGAATTTGGCATGGATATCCTGCTAAAAATCTAGCAAAAATATCTGATTGATCAGTTACATTCATGTCGCAATTGAACACACAACATGTGTCAAAGTTAAAATAACTTGCTCCTATTGTTCCATCAAATTTGAAGATTTTGTAATATCATCATGAGATTGATATTAACATAGCACTAAGATTCCTCAATACTTTAGCTACATGCCACGAATTATTGTGTAGTAGCAGACTAAAATTTGTTTTCTCTTTGCATGTGTCCCCCATTTTTTCCCTGCTTTTAATTTACACCAAAGGATAGGACTGTAGGTGGCACCCGTGATGGATAATTTATTGAAGGAGGCTCTTGGAAGAGATTAGTCACTTTTCAGAATTTTGCAAAACCCACAGAAACTTCAATAGCAACCCACTTGGCTGGATGACCTATGATGCACGGGTACTGACACGGGATATGAGATATGACACGACACGTCGATACGTTAATTCTTAAAAGTGACATATTTCGACATGTTGAGACACATTTTGATATTAAATAATATTTTTAATATAAATAATATAATTTATATTTAATACATATAATAGTTAATAATAAGTCATATAACCAAACAAATATTCAAATTTCATAAATAAATATATAAAAAAAATAATTTTTCGTACCAAGTTAATTTTTCATGTCAAATTTCATAACAGAAAAAAATTGATTTATAAATGATTTTTTTTATTTTTAGTTAATAAAATAAAATTAAGACTAAAAAAAAAAATGTGTCCGAACGTTGACCACGTGTCCAAAAAAGTTGACTGCGTGTCGGAAAAACGCGTCGAAGAGTTGACTACGTGTCCCAAAATATTGACCGCGTGTCCAAACGTGTCAATGTCGGACACGTGTCCGGCCATTTTTTAAAAAAAATGTGTGTCCTGGTATTGTAGGCTGGATCTATGCCAATACCAGTGCAATTTGTGGTTTTGGATTTGGTATATAGAAAATTTATGGGCCCAAAATAGTGTAGGCATTTTATGGTAAACAATTCTTTGGACTGAATCCTAGAATGTCAACATTCGGGGTTAATTTTCATAGCTATCCACTTACAGACTTACTCATATATCTCTATGTTTCACAGCAAAATTCCTTTCATGCATGGAAATTTGAGTTAAGCAGCTAACTAGGCAGAAATTGATTTATAAAAATGAACATATGACTATGAATTATCTATCTTTTAAATTTGAAGCCAATAGCACGAAATATCCATTTCACCCTTACGGTATGTAGTTGGTTATATACACCAATCTAATAAATCATTTATCATCCTCTTTTATCATGGCCCAAAAAGAAAATTATCGATTGGTCAATTGCACAATTGGTGAGTTGTAATGCTCAAAAAAGTTGAGGCACCAGAGTAAGATAAAAAGGAGAAAACAACACTCTTGTAAAATTCGGCCCGACCTGGCCGGGTCGACCCAGAATTCGATGAACCGGTCATCGGATTGGTTCGGATCAAGCATTAGATCGCTCATGCATTGACCCGGTCAAAACACGGACAAAACTGGCCAAATTCGATGACTCGGTCGGGTCATACATTTAAAAATAAAATCAAGAAAACAAAATTGTTTCATATTGTCAGAAAAAAATGTAGAACTCATTTTAAAAATATTTTGCAATTTTATTGGCTAGTATACTCATCTACAATGACTTCAAATTTCAGCTTCCAATATTTAAGTAATTTACTGAATAATAAATTAAGAGAATGTGACAAATGTCATTTTAATGTAATTGAATTTAAAAAATATGAGTTCAATGTTTATTAAGAAGTATGTTTATAAGAATTCTGAGTTGCAATTTAAATTGACACAGTAATAGCGTGTATTTTATTTATCTATGCTTTATGTTTTTGAGCTTATTTAGTGAATCTTATTTAATTCATTTTAGATATGGAGAATATAATTGAATTTATATGTTTATATTTATACATTTTTATATATTTATATATATCCGGGTCAACCGGTCCGATCAATGATCCAATGATCCAGTGTTCCAAGCACGTCGATACCGGGTCAGTTTTAATAGCACTCGGGGTGAAATTTCCACTTACTAAATTTAGCCAACTTTGGACATACTCAATAAGAAAACACAAAATACGATTTTATTTATGGTTCAGATTTCTCTGAAACAGAAATAACGAACTATAAAGCTGAAACACTACCAAAATGACCGCATCTATTGGTAGAAAATGCACCATGACAAAGAGAAGCTGAGAGAAGTTGAAGGCATCCACATATGAAATGAAAGCAACCTGAAGGGAGGACCACAAAAATGAATTTCAAATCTCTACCAGGAATTATTGAATTGTAGTGGCAACACAACAAAAGGGTCTTGCTCAAATTTCAACACACACACAAACACTGACACCAGTAGACACCTATCCTGCTAGGTCCATTAGAAATCCCATAAAAAGAAAGATAAACCAATGAGAATTCAGATAATAAGATTACATCAAAACTCCAGCCAATGAACATAGCAATGAGACCAAATCGTGGGTCCCTAAAACCTCCACCGAATGTCTTAACTAAAATGACATGGACAAACCTTGCATAGAGGAACCAAGTGAGTAAGAACAAAGATAAAACCACACTAGTGTGTTAATTTCTCTCTCAACACACTGTCAAGTCTCAACACAAAACCAATAATTGAATTTCAATCATTTTTGTATCCAAGTAAACCATATGAGTAACACATCAGTATTCTTATGATTCCTTGTTGGTAACAAACAATCCAACCAACCATCATATCGGCAATTCACTTTGTGCAACCAAAAACCATTTCCATGATGATCAATGAAATGAAAGCTGCAAGTGCTTTGGGAGCCAAGACAACACGAGCTTGTGATAGCTGTCTACGTGTAAGAGCACGGTGGTACTGTGCAGCTGATGATGCTTTTCTTTGCCATGGCTGTGATAACTTGGTTCACTCTGCAAACCAATTAGCTAGCAAGCATGAAAGGGTTAGGCTTCAAACTGCATCCTCTAAGGTAAAAGCACAAACATGGCACAGTGGATTCACACGCAAGGCAAGAACCCCACGTCATAATAACAAGCACTTATTGGTGCAACAACGATCCAAAAAAGATGAAGAACAAGTGGTTTTCAATAACACTAGTTCCCTTCTTCATCCTCTTGTGCCTGAGCTTGGAAGTGAAGAACAACAACTTCTAGATGATAATGAGAATGAGGAGGAACAACAATTGCTTTGTCTTGTGCCTGTGTTTGACCCGTTTGATGCAGAGCTTTGCAGTTTATACAATGAAGTGAAGGATGAGGGATTGGACACCATCATGAAAAACGATGTTGTTGCTGGTGATGGTGAAGAGGAAGAAGAAGAAGTGTTTGATTTGGACAACTTTTCTCTCCCATCACATATGGAACTTGCTGAGTTTGATGCTGATGTTGAAACCTTACTTGGAAACGGATTTGATGAGGACTCATGTGGCCAAATGAAAGGATCAGAACTACTTGGTTGCAAAGAAGAAGATGAAATAGATGCATATGTTAATAGACTTGGAGATAAAGGTGCAATGGTAAAGGTTAAGGATGAAGAATTTGATGCTGATACAGCTTGTCATTTGGATTCAATTCTTGACATGAATAGCGAGGCCTTTGATTGGAATGTTGACTCAGAATCACTGGCGGTTGCTGCACAGGAGGAAGAGGAGGAAAAGGTGGCGGTTCCGGTGGCGGCGAGTTGTGGAGCCGGTAAACTGGGAACTAATAAGAAAATATTTTTGAGGCTAAACTATGAGGAGGTAATTACTGCTTGGGCTAGCCAAGGTTCTCCATGGATAACAGGAAGCCCTCGTAACTTCAACTTTGATAACTGCTGGCCTGATTATTTGGTAATTTCTTCTCTCAACTTTTTGATTGGAAACTTAATTCATGTGGTTCAAGTAATGTTGGATATATACAGGAATATATAGCTCTTCCAGTAATCATTTTCTTTATTCTAAAGTTTAAACTCGAAACCTTTAACTAAGAGCAAACAAACTCTTTTTGTTTATGAAGCAATGCTACCTACACAATTGTATTGTATAGGTGGTTTTGGTTACTAATGAGTTGTGGTTTCCAGGGCGGAATTTGTAAATACAACAGTAGTGTACTTACATTGTTCTTGTATTTGTAGCATTTTGATCCAAATAATAAATGGATTCGTTTTTTCTGCAGTTACGGCAGATAAGTTATCTGCAGTAAGCCCAATCCGACGTCGTTTTGGGCGAAAATCGTGATATTTTTTGTAATTTTAATTTATTTCAGGGTTATAATAGTCTTTATATTATAATTTTTTAAGATTTCAATATCAAAACGACGTCGTTTTGGGTTTAAATGCAGATAACTTATCTGCAGTAACTGGAGAAACATTTTTCCCATAATAAATATTAAGAAATGTTTTTCTCATGTTACATGAGAAACCTTATCTCATGTTACACACATCGAAATTCAAGTTTCTTTTTCTTTTTTTTTCTTTTTTTAATTGTGGGACCCACCTAATTATGTCTCTACATAAGACAATGATATCTCATGTAACATGAGAAAAGCATTGCCCATAAATATTTTATCCAATTAATGCAATTCTGAAAGAATTTACCAAAACAATGTAATTAGACATGCATGGGTAGTGTGTGTTCAAGTAAGAATCAGTGTCCGCGTGCGCGTGCACCGCAAGTTATGCGAGTTCAAGTTACACATGCTCAACTTGGATTATTTAAATTTACATGCCACGTGGTAGGTACTAATTTTCCTTTTGCGCAAACCCTCACCTACCTCTGTGCGTAATGTGCATGACATTCTTACATATTTCATTGCATTATTTTGATAAAAAAATTTAGAATGACATTTATTGGGTTAATAGTTTTGAATTCTGCTCTAGTATGGTCGAAATTAAAGAATATTTTTGTTGCTACCAAATCAAGAGTTTAAATTTAGAATTAACTTTTACACTTAGGAACAGTTCACACTTCATGACTATTTCTATTATTAATTGGACTTGCAAGTTCTTTGTGAATTTCAGGGTTTTAGTGGCGCAGATGTCCAATGCTCTTATGGGGAAGTAAGAAGCTTAAGGGGGAGTATAGATGAGGGAAGAGAAGCAAGAGTGTCAAGGTACCGAGAGAAGAGAAGAACACGTTTATTTGCAAAGAAGATAAGGTATGAAGTAAGGAAGTTGAACGCAGAGAAAAGACCTAGAATGAAAGGTCGATTTGTCAAGAGAACATCCTTTGTTGGAGGCACTTCTAATTTGCCAGCTTAATTACCACTGACATGAAAATTGATCAAACGGTTAAGTTTTCCAAATTTGTATTTTCTGGAAAAAGTTGGATTACTTGGTTTTTGCCATGTAGATATAGCCTGTAGTATTATATAGCTAGTAACATCACTATATCTTGCTTGGGATATTTATTAATTTCTCTGGCAGGTCTAGTACTAATGGTAGCTACCCTCTAGCATCTTCCTTATGATCAGAAATTCAATTATTTATGATGATGCTATGATTACCTTAAGTTAGATTTTTGAGGCTACTGATTAACAGTGTTTAATATCAGGTACTTATCTACAAGTTGTTCATCTGCTCGTTCTTATGATTCAATGTCATTTGCATAGGAAGAAGAAGAAGATGAAAATAAAAGGTGAATATTGGACTTAGAAAGATGAATGCATCACAAATTTGAACAAATTCACTCTCAATTTTCTAGGAACATGTAGATGAGAATGTGAACTTTATTTCAATGGTGGGGATGGAATAATCAAGGCATGCAAGATATAGCTTTTAGTTATATATTCTTCTAAGGATCTCACTTATATTGACTAATAGCAAACTTGCTAGAGAAAATATATATTGTAATTCGAACGACATAGACTGTTGCATCCGAGTAATAGCCCACATTAATTTCTCTAACTACTAACTAGTGAAGTAATTGCTAATATCTCAATACAAGGAACTGAGAGATGAGAGATGAGCTCAAATCTGACAAAGATTCTCCTCTTCTAGTTTTCCTATTAATCAAGACTTGGATTGCTACGAAGAAGTATAGAAGCTTTTGCACTTTATATTAAGGGTTTTATAATTCTCAAATTAAATGACAATTAAAATCTTATGTTATAGAGACAAAAAATATGTTGGACCCATATAATAGAAAAAATTATGTATAGGACCCACATCAGCACAAAAATCGAAGGGTGTATAGGAAGATTTCAATGCTCACGTTGAATGAGAATTATAAAACCCTTATATTAATTTAATATCTATTTCATACCAAGAACCAATAAAAGGTTAAACTACCTAAGTGCAACCAATAATTTTTGTATATAACATTTTATACCATATAATTACTACTACTTTGTTGGTACTCATGATTGTGATTTAGTACAATGAGCACTGAAAAATGAAATTGTGCATCTTAATACTATTATTAACAATAGGGGTATGCAGCATAAGCTAAACCAAATATTTAAATAATTTCATTTTAAAGTGTTATAATTATGTTTTGTTTGATTTAAGCAAAATTGTTACATTAATAAAAGTTGAAAGTGTTGGAAGTATTCAAGTATGAGTTGTAAAGAAGTACCACATTGGCTAGACCTAGATCAAGTGATGACCATATAAGTGCAAAAGACCCATAAACCTATAGTCTTAAGGTTTTGGGTTGAGATGTGGCGTTGGTCCACTTATTATGGTTTATCGCTTGCAAAAGATTTTGGGTTCCCCGTACCGTTCTTAACAGAGAGACACCTAGAAATTGAATAAGAAACATCACATTTAACAAGATAAATAAATGAATACGATCTACCTCTGAACTAAATTTGAGAGAAACTTCTTCTTTTTTTCTTTTGAAATGAAAGAAACCTTTGTTTTTTTTTTTTTTCAGAAACTATCTACGAATAAGCATATTTTTCAACCGAGACCAACATGAACAATGTCGAACCTTAAAGATTGTATTAAGTAGATTTATGTATCTCATTTATTTGCAAGAATATGAATCAAAAGGAGCCACAAATGGATTTATAGAAAGCACCCAAAAATAGAAAAAAAAATAAAAATAAAAATAAAAGAGGGATAAACAACCATACAAGACGTGTTTACGATTAAAAGAAAGGACAAGATGTCTTAAAAAATGCATATTTAAATATAAAAAAAAAAAACACAACTCAAATATAATAGATCTGAGTGAATTATTAAGAAAAAATAAATAAAAACATAAAATAGAGACAATAAGTGATGCCGTCAGAGGAGAGAAAAAGTTACGGAAAAATAAAGATCAAAAGAATAAGAGAAAATTCAAGAGAGAGAGAGGACTATAAGATTTTTGTTGTGACGACTTTTCTTTTCAAAATTATCCCAATTCTAATTTTAGCTATTTCTAAATATAAATGAAACATAATTATTCATTCCTTTCAGCCTCTCACTGCCTAATAAGCTTTTTTTTAAATTAGCATATAATATACCTAAGTGAAGTAGACTAAATAAAAATACTATTATTGTGGTAAATAAGTTCTAATGTTATCGACGATTTATTACTTTTTTAGTTTCCTAAACTAGTGTAGTTAGCCGTAAATGATTAGTAAGATATTTTCGATTAAGAAATAGCAAGAACAAACTGAATCAACTAACTTGATTGCCTACGTATTTTGGAGAAGGGGACGTTTGATAGAGGAGATATTTTTTTTGACCAGGGAAATATAATTACTAGAAAAAAGAGTTTGGTAGGAAAATGAGAAAAAAGTTGTTTGGTAGAGCAAAAAAGTACCGGAAAAATTGGTTTAAATTTTCAAAGTCTATGTTTGGTTGAAGATAAAATATTGGTAGGAAAATAGAATTCAATTACCACAATGCCCCCTTAGTTATTTGGTCTTCTTGATTGTCATTGGATCCCTCATTAACCTTTAGCAAAAAAAATAAGATTCTGCGCTCCTTTTTAGACAAAAGAAAGAGAAAAGATACTCCAATTGTAGGGTCATTTTTGTCATCACAAATAGAGCTCTTTTTCCTTGCCCAGCTAAATCTCAAATACCATCCTCCATGTGATTTTTCAAAATAGTGTTTTTCATCTAATTTTGCAAATGAATTACAATGGCTGAGGAAACAATTTTGATAGTAAAATTTGTTAAACTCTTACACCAAACATGGTCAAAGAGAAATGCCAATAAAAGTTGCCCGAGGATCTATATTAAAAACTCCTACCAAACACCCCGTTAAGGTACACCCGTCACATCATTCACTCACTGCGATGGTCAATAAAAAATGAAAAGAGGAGGTGTAAATTGTATTGAGTAGAGAGAAAAAAAATTATCTATGTGTCATTTTTTAATGGAAGGTGCACTTGCGACGGGTGTATCGAAAATGCTCTCGTTTTGGAGATTGGTTGGTGTTGTGACTTCCACAAGTGCATCGGCCGTACAAGTAATAAAATGATAAAATTAAGGTTGTCAATCCCACGATAATTGATTTATCAAGCAATAATTTATTTATATACCAAAGTTGAATCGATCTTGAAAGTCTTTGAAAATATGATGTGATTTAATAAAAATAGAAATTTAAAAATAATATTTTTATTTATTTTCAAGATTAATAACTAAGATGCAAGAACGAGTTAAATTCAGATATCCAAAAGCGTAGTTAGAGATTGGATTTCCCTAACATTTTCCTAATGAGTTTTTACCCTTTCTTGCAATTAAGATTCAAGATTAATTATCGATGATTTTTTCTAAACTAATTAAATTCTCAATCCCTTAGAGATTTTAATTCTTTACTTTATCCAAAGCCCTAACCCCTTAGAGTCTTTTTCTAGAGCAAACATTATGATCAAGAACCATAAAGTTGTAGAATTTGTAAGCCTCTATATGCCTAGATCATACAAACCCTAGCAACTAATTAATCGGAATCAAGACATCAACATTCCTATTATCATGCAAGATTCATATGTTCATCTATGAGTGATCAATTCATAAACAAAACTAGTTGTCAATAAACAAATTAATTGCATAACTCAAATCTTAAATATTAATTACAAGAAAGATTAAACAGCGTTAAGGAATTCATTGGTTCCATCTCGCCTCAACTACATAAAAGAATTTAGCCTAACATGTTCAAGAAAACAAAAATAGATAAAAGATAAAAAGAATTCATGATAAAACCGAATTAAAGGCGATCCACGGTGTAGCCTTGAATTGTTCTTCTTCCTTCTCCTTTCCAATAACTCTCCTTTAGCTCTTCCAAGGTCTCTGGTTGTAGATGCATTATGAGTTTCCTCTAAAAATTATATTAAATATGTATAAGAACCCTAACTTGGGTGAAAATCCCATAATAGGCCTTAGTCGGGTCGCAACAGGGCCGAAGCATGTTAAATCGCGTTATTTTGGCAGCAAAAACATGGTTTCGTATTTTGGCAATAACGTGAGCTATACTCCTCCAATTGATGTGATCTTGGTCTCGTTGAAAAGATAAGAAAAAGATCTACAACTTATATAAGAACATGAGATCAAAATACATCATCCACAATGTGAAAAATTGGCCGAAAAATAGCTTTAAGAATATTTTCACTAAATCATTGCTCCACATTTATTGCTTTAATTCCTTCTAGCTTCCGCTTGGCTCCAATACTCTGATTTAACAATTTAAACCTGAAACCAATATATTTTTAAGTCAATATCATGTCCAAACAATAAAACCCTGCAATCTTTTGCATTCATTAATTATCACTATGTTCTTGATCATATTTATCATTATTTAATCTATTTTTGATCCTAGAAACACAGTGTCTTTGACACTTATCAGTTGGTTTTCCCAATTCTGTTGGTTTAGAGATCGATTAGTTCTCCCAATTTTTGACGGTTTGGTTTAGTTCTATATGTTTTTTTTGGATAAACTACATGTGTCCTCCACGTGAGGTAATCCTGTTCGGGGCGTGGAGGTAATCTTGTTTGGGGTGGATCCAAAATTTAGGCTTTAAACCCCTCTCAAAGATGATACTAGTTAATTAAGGCTCTCTCCCTCACTTGCTCAGTTCTAAATTTTTTGGACCAGCCAACTTTAACTCCTACATTTGAAATCAAATCGAATTCGCTTTGCATACCTTACCAGGGGGTTCGAATTTAGGCCCAAAGATGTTATATCTTATATATTTTTATAAATAAGCTAAACATTTTAGTATGATTTATGAGAGTATTATTTCTGCAGTTGTGGCAAAAATAGTACTCCCTGCCACAGATACAATGAGAGATGAGAGAGAATGCTTTGGTGGAATGAGAGATGAGAGAGAATGCTTTGGTGGAATAAGAGATAATGCTATTTTGTGTCTGTGGCAGAAATAATATTTCTGCCACAACTGTAGAAATAATACTCCCATGATTTATTATTGTTACATTGCCTTACATTCTATTGGTATTAATAAAAGTGAAAATGTTTCAAAGTAGAAATATACAAATAAGCTCATGGTGGATTAACTTTTGAATACATATGAAACATTAATGAGGTGAAAGCCACGTATGTAACTCCAAGGGGTGTAATGTATCATTGTAGGGGTGTCCTTGATAGCAATGGTATAGACCAAGGCTATACAATGACTCTCAATATGGATCGATTAACAACTCATGTAAAATGGTGAATCATGTGTGTCATGGTGGAGAATGAGGGGGTATTTATAGTTAGTGTTAGATTTCACCCATGTGGAGAGTGGGCCAAGTCAACGACTATGTGAAGTGCCATTATAGCCTGGCCTCGCTGAGCAAGGCACTTTACAGCCACTGTCAGTGATACATCGTTTGCTGTGTAGGAGATGTAAAGGGGCAGATATTTCAATGTAAGACATTTGGGATGTCTTTATGTTGGGGAGTCTAATACATTGGTGCTGATATGAC